CAAAATAGCTCTTCCCAATGCAACCAGCAGCCTAAGATCTGCGAATGAAGCTGCCCTTTGAGACGGTGCACGCTTTTGCGTATGTCCGGGGTAACCAAGTGAAAAGTCTAGGCTCATTATTGTGCGGAGGACTCCACATCAAAGAACAAGGAAGAAACGTGTTCAGACATACGGGAGTTTTCTGGCATGAGGCTAACGTAAACGCGCGTTAAATTATTTTGCTGGTCACTCCCTACACAAGTACCATAACTGTATTAGGACGGTTTTGGGACATTTCTCTAGTTCTTGGATTGCTTTCTTTTGCGGTCAGCCAAAAGAATGCTGCCCCGAACTGAATTAGTCTTGTGACGCTAATCTCAATAGGTCGTATGAGCAAATCTAAGGCGTGCTTGCGAAACTCCCGATCAGTCCTTTTTCGTTTCGAAGGAAAACAGTTTTGTGCAAAGAGGAACCGCACAGGAGGCTCCTCTCCTGGTTAATCTGGCATTTCCGTAGTTAAGCATCCATTGTACTTCCACTTAGATTTAACGCCTTAACTGCCTTGCACCATCTTTTCTTTCAAAGGAAGGACACGGGAATACTATAGCGTAGGCAATCAACCAAAACAGTTTCTGCAATGTTGAAGATACATTTTTTTCTTTTCCGTACTTGTGCGGTTATCACGCCCTGCTAGCCGCACTAGCATCCAAGACAAAAAATAATACCGCAGGCCAGTTTAAAAATTACGACGCCTGAATTTCATTGTTAGTGATTGCAATAGAATTTAGAAAGGATGCCCACTTCTAATACCCTATCTATATCTCCCACCAGGAAGAAGTACAGAAGGCCCTTGCGCCCGAGGAAATAAGCCTTCTAAAGAAGCCACTATCCAAGTGTGTTGTTCGCATGCTGCATCAAGGTGTTCGGGGCTTTTGCGTTAAAAGCCGAGTATACCGCCTTCCTGGCGCTGCAGCTTCTACATATCAGGCGCGGTCTTCAAGAGACCAACTTCAGCCAAGACAAACATAATAGTAACGACGCGTTAATTAAAATGAGCTAAAGCAAGCATATCCTGCAAGAAAAACCGCTGGCAAATCTCCGTACCTCCTTGTTCTCTGTTTAGCGGTGCTCGTTTTTCTCTACTGCGCTGCTCTTCTTCAGCTTTTCCGTGCCTCCTGCCTATGCGCCAAAACCAAACCGACACCCCGTTGCGTAGAAAAGCGATCTGCGTAGCGTTCCTAGCCTCCGAAAAAGGGGTGCGGATAAGAACCGCCTCCTACCAATACAGTTTTACACAATATCTCTAAACTTTTTATCCGTTCCCGCAGTTCCGCATTCGATCTGCTTGTTTGCCAGAAGGAAGACGAATGCTGCGCTTTTAAGTCCAAAACGCAGCGGGGAAATAATTTCAGTCGGGGGGAAAATATAGCCGAACAGTGCAGACTCAGCCAGCGGCAATAGACTCCAAGCCCATAAGCCATACGGCAATTATTTTTCCTGCCATGTCTATACACTACAACCTTACGTCCGCTCACCAGAGCTTGACAGACGCTTGCACTAACGGTAAGAACCACCTACTCAAACTTGTTACACCGATGCCCAGGAATCTCAAACCCAAAACATCCACCATGCGATTCACCTATTGCATTCAGCTGACTTCGCGCGAAGTGCGATCTCCCCACCCTTCTTCCAAAAGCGAACTCCGCTCCGCCCCAGCAATCTAGCATCTAAGCCTTCAATCTCCAGCATCTGCGCATCTTCAGGAGTAAGTGGACAACCACCGCGCTGGTCAACTAGAATCTGCAATCTCTTATCAATGCCCGAATCCCCCTTGCGGTGCTGCACCACAAGATAATGCAATTCCCTTTGAGCTGATTGCTGCGATTAGTGGAAGGCGGCGACGCTTATATCGTCGAATGAAGATGTTGACTCATTGCCCATCTCTACCGCTGTGTCATAGAAGCAAGCGGAACAGTACGCCAGTGGTGGCAGAGCGAAATGCGCTACGCGGAGTGAGCCCATAAAGCATCGCAGCGTTGCCTAACTGCAAATCGAGCAGTGGCTGAAGATTGCGAGTCTTACCCGTTCACATAAAACGGCACAACCCTGGCTCAGCAGCCACGAAAAACCGGTATCCTTACCCTCATCATCACTGCGCCGTGCATCAGCATCTCCCTTCCTACAGAGAGCCAGCGAGCGTTTCCGAGGTGGGAAGATGACGCTGCTCAGACAGTCCATCTCATCCTCACAAACGGCTGGGATGAGCCCACGCTACGTCTGCCAGCGCGTTCACCGGTTTGTTCTGGGCCTTAACCACATCCAAAGTGCCAAGCAGGCTCCAGTGGCTGCTTGGCACCCTCACACGGGTGACGAACTTTGTTACACGAAGGGTTTGCAAAACACGTTGATCCCCGAGGCAATTTTTAGCAAGCCGCTGACGAACAGACTTATTCTCTCTTGGCCTTCGCTTTAGAAAGCATTGTCACAAAAACGCTCTAGAAACCCAAGCTTTCCCTTAGAAATGCGTTGGTTTTACTGCACCTTCCGCTCTACGGCAGCTGCCTTCACCCCTTTACAGAATGCCCCAGGTTGGACGAAAAGCGTGGTCTACCAGCAGGAAACACCATATGCTTCACCGATGGTTGCACACTACGCAGCCTTTACCAAGATAAACAACCCACAAAATGTGTAGGCTGGCACCTAGACTGGCCCAAAGGTATGCCTCTCCGTAAAACTTTGGTGCACCCGGAGCTGTTTTTCTAATCCGGGGAACCGAGACGACTAGCGGTGTTCTTCAAGTCCTTGTCTGACTTGAGGGTCCACTGGTACCCGAAATGCCCTGCTCTTCGAGGCCAACCAGCCAGAATCGCACGTAGGTCAAAGTGCTCACATGCAGAATAGTACTGACGGCTGCAAAGCCGTCATTACCGCCACTCTAGGCTTTGTAAAAGTCGCGTCATATTCAGATGAACCACTTGTCAAAGTTTGCCCAGGAACCTTGCAGCAGGACAGCGTCATGCCAGCAGCCGATCTGATCGAATGCCCTGAAATGTTCGTTGAGCGGAAGAAAAGGGTAAAACTGTACGAATTTCTAGAAGCAGGTTTGCAAAGTTGACCAACTCTGCATCTGTGAGGACAAAACCACCTACGTACACTTCGCAAGTCTTCCTGCCTCCGCCGGCAGGTACTGCAACAACCCAGGTCATCTGCCAGCATGGGACGAGATAGCGTGTCGACTTCGACGACACAATATGGCAGATGCCGCAAGTTCCTGCACAAGCTGGTATGCGTACTTCGATATTCCTTCAGCCTAGCACCTGTCGGCGATCTGTCTGTTAAGCCATTGCGTTGACCTTCACTCCATCGGAAAAGGATGCTTGAAAGCCTCCTGTGGGTTGGCCGTGCACTAGGACTTGCAGTAATGCATCAACCCACATCAGGTGCGTTATTATCTTCTTGAGCCCCTAAGCCCTTGTGCTGATCTGACAATTGTGTTGCCCAGCTCTGAAACCTTCCATGCATGGGCTAGCTGCATCAGCGAAGCACCGCGTCGATTTCCCGACTCACGTAACTACTCGCTGTGCAAAAGCACTGCAAATGCCCGCGCGCCGTAAAGTCTCCTAGGAGAAAGGTAGCCATGTTTTCTGCCACTTGACCTGTGCACGTCAACCTACGGAGCTGGCTTCCAGGCAGTAACCTCACGCCGCCATACAAGTGTTAGGACTATGCAGGTGCAGTACAGTATCGAAGCCAAAACGTTTCTCTTGTAGTCTCGCCATCTGGATGTTCTGCCGCGCACTCCCATGAAAAACTCTAACACATTGGAATGACCAACTCGGCAAGCCTCTAGCAGGTCATCCACCCTGGTAAGAATGGGGGAGCCAAGACTTGCAGAGCGCCAGCCGCTTTCTTATAGGCTACGGCGCCAGCGTCATGTGCCAGTGGTGGAAGCTGCTAGAATTGAGATGGTCAAGTTCACAGCACCACTGGCTTCAGTTGCCACTGGATCCCGGTTAAACGCCCAACACACATTAAGGGGAAGATAACCAGGCACACGCTTCCCCTGCTAGCAGCGAAAAACATGGCACTGGTCCTGCAGATAAATTTCATGGGAAACGTGGCATCAGCGGCACGTAGTTGACGCCGTGGTTCCGATAGCGTTTCTTCCACTTTTTAGCATTCTCCGTCTGCCGTTGGTGCATGCATCCCTACTTCCGAGAAGCCTCCAAACTGAGGTCTAGGGAACTGCTGAACAGTACCTTGAACGCTAATTGTCAGAACAAAACAGAGGCATAGTTGTACCTGCATATGGCGCTCCACGCGAATCCTCCGTTGACCTAGTTGCGCTGTCTCACAGAAGATTTCGGGTCACCAGACGCTCGCACCCTTCCAGTTATGCGAAACCCCGCGGCTGTCCTGAGTCACCTTCCTTTACACATTGCCTCTCTATTCTATCTCGACTTGCACCTTCTTTACCTCCCGTCGTCAGTTTTTCCCACCGCTTCCTCAGTCGCAGAGGGCCTGGACTTGGAGGGCTTCGCTTGTTGCACCGCGCTGAGTAGCAGGGACTTTGTGTTGTTGAATTTTTTTGGTTGTCAGGGCCTGCACAAACTGTATTGTGGAACCCTACGAGACTATTGTCGTTTGCCTTTTCACCTGAACCTGCTACAACTCACCGATGGTGCAGCACCAAACCCGACGCGTATATTATACACATATCTATGTGGGTTAGTTGGACACGTGGAGTGATACCATACATTTGCGCACAACCACCTCCACGCTGTTACCGCTGGAGTTACAGGGCGCTCACGAGCTGCCCGCAGGGCCTAGTCTAGTACTGCTTTTGCTGGTGCGCTTGTTTGCTTCGGCGGAGGTACTCCTTGAAAAGCAGGGGCCAGAGCAGCCCCTTCACTTGCTCTTCCTGGTCCAGTTGCTTCTGGTGCTTTCGCTAGGGTCACGTTGGTGATATTGCCGCTCATCTTGGTCTTGGACGCTGGAGGGCTTCAGAGCGTCTTCCCCGTGCAATCGGGAGGTGGGAATGTAGCATAGGGCTTAGGCCTGCGCCGTCTTGCGCCTTGTTTGTTCAGCCAATCGCTGGACGATGTGTTTAGTGCCTAACGGTGTTACTGCAAAGACCTCGACAAACAAAAAATCAGAAGGGTGATACTCTAAAGCTGGCGAAAAAACAGCAAATGAGGAGGGCTTTACTTCAGAAGTCTCGAAAAAGAAGAATTGAATGCCCTGCGTATATGGCGGTACCACCTGCAAGGGTACGTCCACCAGGGAGATGTCTGTCACGCAGCGCTGGTTAGTTAGCAATCAAGTGTAATGGCGCTGGCTGTCAGCTCAACTGTACTACGTTTTTTTGACTATTTGTGCATACATAAATAGTGCTCTGAGGCTAGTGATCTGCTATCTTCCGTACTGGTGTGGCAAGAATGGGGTCGGGAGAACATTTTCTGCGGGACTGCGGGGCAAAGGCAGCCTCCCGTGGTTTGGCTGTAGCGCTTATGTCATATCTTTGTACCAATTCGGCTTTCCGGAGCTTAGCGCCTTCTATCATTATTTGGTGGATATACCTCCTAACCTTTCTGAAAATCGCATGATGCCACCTTTGAAGCTGCATAACTTCTGCGAACACGAATAGAAGTTGTGGATGTAGCCTTCATTCTATTGTGTTATGCTGACGTTGCGCCAGCTCAATCTGTTCCTATCGAAAGAAAAGGGCTGTTGGGGTTGCATTCGCTCTGTGTGGCTCGCCAAGGCGCTGCGGCAGCCGTGCCGCCGCTGGCCGCGACGGTGTCCATGAGCAATGCCAAGAAGCGCCTTACTGGATAAGCATCCCAACCTAACAAACTAGTTCTACTGATCAGCATCCAGTCCAACTAGATAGAGAAAAATAAGAACGTTGCCGTCGGACGGAACTACGAAGAGGTAAAATGACGGATGTTCCTCAGAATGAAAGGATTGTTGACGGGGGACGCAAAAAAAAATCAAATACGATGAGTGCCTGATGGTGCCTGACGATACGGAGCAAAGCAATCATGCGTAGCAATCTGGCTCTCAACAAAGTTTGCGTGGCGTTCAAAGTTTAGTTGCAGTGTCCATGCGCACGCTTGGAATCTGCGTAGCTGGGTCAGACTTTGCTCAGGCGGTGTCCACGAATAGTTTTGCCGAAGGAACCATCACTCACCCATTCAGCTTCCTTTTATCCTGGCCATCTAGCGTTATACTATATTTTGCCTATGGAAACTGCGTGTCCTTACACTGGTACCTGGCTCCCAGCTGTTCCTTCGGGCAATGGCGTTGCGGCACTCTTGTAGGAGAGGTTGTATAGCACTTCACCGGTTAGCAAATAGGTTAGTGTGTAACCGAGGATCGCCCAGCTTGCGGGTACAGCACATCTGCCCCAGATACAACCGCAAAATGTTCCATACAGCGATTGGTGAGATTAGTTGGCCTTTTCCCGTCTAAGCGGCTTGCTGAGACTGCAAGCAGAGCATAGGCAAGATGCGGGGTCCAGAACTGGCACGCTGGATTTGTTTAGTGTAGCTTTTTGACTGACATTCTTCGGCTTATTCCATGCATTCCGGAGATGTTGCAAGTTGTCAAGGTGGGTAGATCGTTGACAAAGTACACTGCAGGATGCCAAGAAGCAATTTCAATGGCGCTTCATACAGTCAACATCTGCAATATTTTCCACTTTCTACGTTGTCAAATTATCGAAACGTATGGGTGGTACGTTTTGCATGGCTACCCATCATTGTGTGATTTGGTGTGTTTGTTGCCTGCGAGGTATTTAGCCGTTAAATGGATTTCAGCCAGAAGGCAATAACAATCTATGGGTCCCCGTGGTTAATAGTGTTTTTGCTCAAAGACCTAAGCGGTGATTAATTAGTGCATTTCTTCTAGTGTCAAGGACCTGCAACAGCGGATGAGGAGAGATTACTTCCCGAGTCCATCCGCGACAACATCAATGCTATTACAGTGGCTGACTGACGGGTAGGCCACTGTGAAAACCAGCAAGAATATCTATCGGCATCGTTAAGGGTTCAGGCAAAGCTTTTAACGCCCCTGCAGGAGAGTAGTTCAAGGCTTCTTCTGGTGCCTTGCTGGGGATGTGGGGCGTGCAGGGCTTCTGAGATACACTGAGATGCTCACCTGAGAAAACTGGGAGAAACTGCCTGGTCACGTGCACTTCCGGGCGATCATCCTTTTTCGGGTTATGGTGGGTTCAACACTCCTGTACTGGCTCGAATATAGCATTTGAGGCAAAGCTGAAACGTACATTGGCCCGAACGTACAGTTTGTTTGGGATATCAGCCTACTGCCGTCCCTGCTGTGTTGCTTCGCCGTCCGTCCCTCTGGCAACTCGGCAGCGTACAGACGCCCGCAAGCTTCAAGTATCAAGGAGAAAGAAATTACGATAGGAAATAAGGAGTGTTGAACTTGCTGAACAAAGTGCTTGGCCGGTGGGGAGTTGGGCTGGAGTGTCACGCGAACTTGGGAGGTACCCTTGATATCGTCCGGCCAACCGTCCCTGCCTGGACCGACCCAAAAACCGGGTCGCTAGTGACTTCATGTGTTATAGATTATTGCTCGGATTGAACAGTCGGCCGCCTATAAAACCCTCTCGCTAGTGAATTCAGGT